CAACGATTTGCTCCGTTAGAGAATGTGCAACGTTCCTGCATAATGTTCTCATTTCGTCATATCATTTTGTTTGGAACGAAAAATACCCGGGTAAAACAAGCCAAGAAAACATTATAATTTTTCCAAGGAATTTTAACTAGAAGTATCAGTTAATCTTAATGGACTGAATCGAATGGAGGTGGACGATATCATTGGCGTCAAAATTAAACCAGTAATATCAGCCCCAATGCTCTTAGTGAACAATGAGTAATCAATTATTGATTGTATGAAACTAGCAAAAGATTCAGCAAATCAACTTCTAGACACCTGTTTGAGCCTGTAAATTTAGCATCATAGTCGAGATAATCCAGTCTCCCATTTAAGGGCAAAACCAGGTTGCATATGCACATAAATATCATCACGAGCTCACCATGTAAATAAATGCAATTATGTACCAAATTGATCGCCAAAAAAGGAAGGCGCCACACCATGCAATTACCATCATGACAACTGACGAGTTATTTGGATACTTGGAAATATATAGTCCGTGAAATATATTATTGGCATAATACATTATATGCAAATTTGTTCTTATATTACTCATACTAGACATAACGATTTAACATGAAATTGTCTACAAAGAGACCATTTATCTTTTGCGTGCACAATCATTATTGTCATTTAAATTTCAAAATGGGTGGTTGTCCTAGTGTCATTGAATAAATACAAAATTTCAAAGAAAAAATTTATCACCTCAAGTCATCCAATTTGAGATAGCATGACTATACCATGCTTGTCATGCCTCAAAGAATAACTTAAGAGTAATGATCCTATGATACTCTCCCACACCTATGTACGAGGACCCCAAAAGACGATCATTAAATTTGGCACAGATTTTTAGAAAAGTTATCATATGGGTGTGAGACTAGAAAAGTCATCACATGGGTGTGAGATTTGAATTTTCTAGAGTTCTGTGCCAAATTTAATGGTGATCCTTTGGGGTCCTACATACATGGGAGTGAGAGGGTCTCACGAGGTCATTTCCCATAACTTAATAATGTGAATTAATATTAATAATAAACATTGAGTAAACTATTTTAATCACAACCTTTAAATATCGTTAATTTGTAGTTTAAATAGTGCATCTAAACTTTAATCCTAAAAAATCTTTTTTTTCAAAAATAGTAATTATTATAATTTAAATAAAATATAATTTATCATTTTTTTGTCTTGAACTTAACCCTAATCCCAAAAAAAATCCTTTGTTTTTTATTTTGTAATCATTATAATTTATCAAGCTCGCTTGTAGAGAGAGAGAGCAGAGAAGGGAGGCTCGAAGAGAGACAGACAATAGAGGGTGGGTCGAAGAGGGACAAAGAAGAGAGGTGGAAATAGTGGATTCGAGCAATATGATGGGATGAGAGAAATTGAAACCATGATTTAGAAATTGCCTTCAATCTGAAAACAGGTAGCTTGAGAGAGAGGTAAGTGGTAGGCTTATCAGGTTGAGAGGGAAAATGGGAGTTTGTGAGGGGAAGAGGATGTACCCACGAGACACGAAAAATGGTATTTTTAGAGGCGCGCATAAGATTACCAGTCATGCACGTAAAATATTTCCCAACCTTCGCATGTGTAATAGATTTGTAATCTATTTTCATTTCCTTAGATTACCTGTGACGCTCATATAAAGATTTCCTAACTCTCACGGGTGAAATCTAAGATTTCCCAACCCTCCTGTGCGTAATAAATTTCACGATATTTGGGAAAATATTGTGTAATCTAATTTTATGTCCTTATTAATAAATGCATCCAAACAATATAAATATCATATTTCCTAATAATCTATTTACTATAATATATTTTCAGGTACCCAAACGACACTTGAGGGAAACTCTCTTCAAAGTTCCAATCCACAAAATAGAAAGGACCTTTTATTCTTCATCTACAAATATCCAAAATTTGATCCCTAATAGCCCGTAGATAGTTTGAACCATATAAGAACAATAATCAATTTTAGCTCGAATAGTGTGTAGGGTACTCTGCCTTCTTTGATCCATTCGACATGGGCAATCTCTTTTCCGTTCAAACGCCCCCACAATTTGTACCTGAATCCCCTTTGTATTTGCTTGTTCAGCTAATTCAATAGCTTTTTTTTATTGCTTTTCGAAATAAAATTCTATTTTTTAATTACAGAGCAATATATTATGCAAGAATATTAGGTTGTTTATAGGTCTTGCAATTCTTGACAATTATAGCATTCAATAGTTCCATAAGCATTGAACTTCATTCTCTGAACCGATCAATTACAAGTAGTTATATTGGTGCTTAACAGGTAAAGAGTTCGAAAATTTTCATCAATAACTCATATTGCTCTCACTGGCTACATGTGTTACCATATATTTTCACATATGCTTTTGAACAAAAACACAAAACAAAAAATACTTACTGATGCATATCAAGAGATATTCAAGAGATAAAGTAAAGGTGTACAGAGTTAGGATCTCATTTCTTCGCTAGTAATCTGTGTAATGATTGAATTTTGGTCTTTGGAAAGAGGTGGATGAATATTTGTTTGGATTTCAAATAGGATCAAGTAGAAATTCTTTTGATTTGGGATATATATTCTATACCACATATGAATATTTGTTTGGATCTCAAAACTGAAGTTCACCAATAAAGCTCTCTGGGTTTGCTCTATTTTCCTTGATTAGAGCATGAAGTATCAGAAAATGCAAAAGGGAAAACTAATACAAAATGCTTTAGCACGGGGCTTTTGTGTTTCCTGTTTATTTTTCTTTAATGAGATTGTGAAGTTTCATTGAAGTAGGAAAAAAAAGATGATGTTAGCTCTTAATTCCCATCTGATCTTACGTGCAATAAAATACGTTTATGTGCAAATGGAAGTATAAGTTTTTAATAAAATAGATATATTGATAATACAAGACAAATATAATTGTAAGAAACTCTTTTTTTTTTTTTTAAGTAGTTGAGCCATAGCTCAGATGGAAGGTTTTTGTTGCAACCTTGAGAGTATAGATTCAAACCCATATAACCCATTGTAGTACGCATAGAGATCAAAAGTACAAAAGTAAACAGATTTTCAAATTTTTTATCGTTCTTTCAAATGTTCGTTAGATTTTAGCTTTCTTATTTTTCACCTAGAATTCCTTACCTGTTTGGGCACACGGAATGTGGGGCTTGGATATTACTGAAATCCACAGTTTGGCTTGCTCAATAGCTAGGATATTAAAATGGGTGCGGTTTAAATAGAGCCGACGCTGTAAACAATCAAAAGTAAAACATACCTTCATATAGTATTGCGAAATGTGGTTTTAATATTGAAAATCTTTGTGACAGCTGTAAAATATATTTTCATCTCTAATTATAAAATTTCAAGATTAAAAGATAGTGTAGATCGAGCAAATCTATGAAAGCATGAAAATTTTGAAAATTGATGGTCCAAAAAATGCATTACAAGATACACTATTTTCAAAACTTGAAATCCATATTTTTTTCTCATGTCCATGCATCATGATGTCGAGATGATCAATTTGAGTATATTTGGGCACCAAAACTACATCTTCTAGTGAAATTTTTGAGGTGCGCTCTAATTTGATTGTTTAGAGCCTCGGCTCTATATAATTTTTTTTCTATTAAAATTGCTTAGAAATTAAATCTTGAAAAATGACCTAACTTTTTCACAATTTCATTTCCACACCAAAACCTATTTTTCTGAATTTCAAGAGCCTATGGATGCTTCGGCCTTTTGACCCGAAGCTTAGGGCACGTTTGGTAGGTTTGAAAATATTTTCATGTGAAAATTAGGCATGTTTAGTACATGACAAATACGAAAAACCAAATAAATTTTAGAGAGAGAAAGTATATGACAATTTTTAAATATTGAAACTATATCAAAATTTATAGAGAGAGAAATTATCACAAATTTTAAATTTAAAGAGAAAGTATATTACAATATTACAGAGAGAAACATTATTAAATTTTAGAAAGAGAAGTACCTGAAAATTATCTATCTCAATTTTTTTAGAGAGATGAAATATCTCAAATTTTAAGTTTTAGAGAAAGAAAAAATATTAAAATTTAGAAAAAGTTTATATAGAGCCAAGGCTCTAAACAATCAAATTTGAGCCTACGTCAAAAATTTCACTAGAAGAGTTTGTTTTGATGCCAAAATATCTTCAAATTAATCATCTCGAAATCGAGATGCATAGACATGAGAAAAAAATGGATTTCAAGTTTTGAAAATAGTGTATTTTGTAACATATTTTTGAACCGTCAGTTTTCAACATTTTCATAGATCTATCGTTCTACACTATTTTTTAAGCTTTAAACTTTATAAATAAAAATAAAAATATATTTTAAGGCTATCACAAAGATTTATAGTATTGAAACCATATTTTTTGATGCTATTTGAAAGTAGGCTCTAATTTGGTTATTTAGACCCTAGGTTAGAGCCCTTAAAATTTTAGAGAGAGAAAGTCTATGAAATTTTTCAAACGGATGAACTTTTTCAAATGGTTAAAGAGATAAACGATCTCAAATTTAAAGATTTAGAGAGTGCATCTTAAATAGATAAACTATCTCAAATTTAAAGATTGAGATAAACTATCTCAAATTTAAATATAATTTAAACTATCTCAAATTTAAAGATAATTTAAAGAGATAAACTATCTCAAATTTAAAGAGATAAACTATCTTTTCTCCATCTTAAAGAAATAAATTATTTCAAATTTAGAGATAGTTTAAAGAGATAAACTATCTCAAATTTAAAGATTGGGAGAAGATATATAAAATTTTAAGGTGATAAAAAACTCACGATGTGAAACACCTATGAAACTATAATTAAGTAAAAAAAAATACTCTAATTTTAGAGAAAATACCTGATAATTGAGTAAATAAATAGTTCGCTCATGAAGCGCTTTCTCGAATAGTAATTACTAATTACGATTAAGGAAGTCTCCAAATCGATGTGCCATCTCCAAGAAACCAATAAACATAAAGAAGGTGAAAATAAGAGAGGGAGAGAAAGAGAGAGAGAGAGGAGAAAACCTGGAGGTGGGAGATAAACAGGAGAGATATGGAGGTCGCACGAGATTAGGGCAAAGAGGAGCGAGAAGAAGACAAAGAAGGGGAGGGAGAATTAGAGATAGAAGAGAGCTTTAGGGCAAAATGTTGCAACTGTGAATGGAGAGAGAAAGTTGAAGAAGGGAATAGAGCTCTGAGGAAGAAGCACCCACAAACACTCTCTCTCTACCTCCTGTCGCATTCCAAGCTAAACCTAATAGAACTCCAAGAATAATTGGCATTTCCCACCTATCTAAGTTATTCGAAAGCATTGATCAGTGCTTTTATAGTCCCTCTCCTTGATTATGAGAGTTCCATCACTATCAGTGTTCTAACTCTCTCTCTTTCTCTTCACATGATCCAGAACCCTAATTTATCCTGACTGCATCATGAGCGGTGCTGATTCCTTTAAAAGGTACACGCAGCACTACTCTTGTAATCTATTAATAACCAGTTCATGTTCCATGGATACTGATTCATTCAATATCATTTCATCCATTTCGTTTCATGTTTTATTTCGTAAGTTTCCACCATGAGGTTTTCTTGAACCAAAATCTTCTCTTTTTTGATGGAAATTGACTGTTATGTCTCTGAGTCAAACATATTTCTCAAAAAAAATAAAAATTGGCTGTTTATGTCTCCTGGGGCGGCTTCCATAAAACATAGGTTTTGGGAATTGGTAGTTTTTCTGTTGGGACATGGGAAATACTTAATATAATTGATTTCATTGGTATACTTTGTACATGTATATTTTCTTTGAATTGGATCAGCAACGAATAATAATCACACACATAATGTTGTCTTTTGTGATAGGCTGGTGAAGCTCGCAGCTCGAGCTTTTTATGATGACATTAGTACTAAGGGTGATAACCAGCCAAAGACCGGCAGAAGTGACAATAGAGGCATGGCTGTTGTTGTTCTTGATGCTTTGACCAGGTTCCATGCCTTTGTCTTCTCCGCAATGGTGTTCATTTTCACATATCCATATGTTGAGTGGATTTCAGAATTGCGTGATATATAATTTTGGGTCCATTTATGTAAGTGAGTCTTGTGTTGCGAAATTTTGATCAGTAGATTCCCACCATCCTAAACATGAAAGACCATCATATGAAAATAAAAAAGATACTCTTGAAGTAACAGTGATTTTTTTAAAATTTTTTAACGTTCATATCTGTATTGCTTTGTTAGTCAATTTTTTTTGTTGTCCAGTTATTTACCTGAAGTTTGGTGGTGTGGTTAGTTATTCTTGTTCCTTTACTGCCTTTGTAATTTGAACAATCTACAAAGCTTCCTGATTCAATTTCTTCTAAGTGAACCAATGAAGTACCACTTCTTCGGGATTTTTTTTTTGGTTTTGCAAGAGTTAAAAAGGTATGTATTTGGAATTTGGGACTCAATTCAGTGTAGGAGCTGGCACCCTTAATTAAATGAGCTTTCATTAGATGTGGGAATGACTCTTAGGTAGCAACATATAGAATGACCTGTTGCATAACTAAACGCTCAGAAGAACCATTAGGCATCACATCATTTTAAGCATTTTGAGTTCTCAATTGTCAAGCCTGCTACATATTGGCTGTAGACATCTGCCTTAGGGGTATCAGTCAAGAATCACAAGCCATGATCCATGTGAATTGTGAAGCGTGAATACTACTCATGAACTCTCCACATAAGTGAAATTTGGAATATTTTCTGGCTATGGGGATACTTTGTAGACCTTGGGTACATTGCAACACTAATAACAAAATGTTGCGAATCTGGAATGATCTCAGTTGTGGATCATACAGGTATATTCCGACTTATTTTATGAACCGATCATTGAATGATTATTTTGATCTTTTATCTAATCTAAAAAATTCTAATCTAATCTATATTAATCTAATATATATTAGTAGTCTATTAGATATTTATTTAGATTCAATTTGTAGATTGGGTCAGGTTGGAGTTTTAGGTCAGACTCGTGCATGATATATATTTCTTTATTTTGACTTTGACTTCGTCAATTTACTTGATTGGGTATACCAAAGGTGTATCAATAACTCTTTGATCTTGACATAAGTCCCTCCTTACAACTCATGAATTAAGAATTCTCACAAGGACAGGGTCTACTCGACATGGATTAAGCGTGAATGAAACCTTTCGCAAAAATCTTTCACAAAATTCTCAACTAATACTAATATAAACTGTCAACTAATTAAAATAAGGTCCTACCGCCCCAGGTGGTGAAGAGCGGACATCGAGGTGCCAAACCTTCCCGTCGATGTCAACTCATGGGGAAGATCAGCCTATTGTCCCTAGAATAACTTTTATCCGTTGAGTGACGGCCGTTTCACTTGGCACCATCGGATCACTAAGGCCAACTTTCATCGCTGCTCGACGTGTGAGCACCACTCTAGGCTAGCCCTAGCTTCTTGCAAAAAACGGATGCCCTAACGCGCTGCGCTAGCTGTTGCTTCGTGCTTTCGAGCTGTAGTTTACTGGCTTTGACATTGTGCTAACAACTGAACTCGCTGGGGCTGCTTTGCGCCTCCACTGGTCCAGTCTCGTCTCAGGCGTTGAGTCTAGAATCCTTCTGGCTCCTTCCAGTATCACAGTAGGAATATGTTTCTTCTTGCCCTTCCTTAGCTTTTTTTTATGAACCGATCATTGAATTCTACATAGCTCATATGAGATTTATTTGCGAGAGAGTGAATGGCTGAACCATATGATGTTTAGTTCACTTGTGGTTCTACAGACCACTCATCTGAACCAGAAATCTAGCTTTGGGGTGGATGGAAAGTTTGAAAGCCTAGTTTAGCGTAATTTGAGACCTTCCCAAGAAACCTAGGATCTTTTATAGCACCATTTCTAAATCTTTGGAAATCAGAATAATTATCAAAATTAGTAGTCAAGGGTTACACAAGACCTTGTTATTTAATTCTAAGAATAAAAGAATCTTATTCCATCTGAAGCATGCAATGCTTAAAATGAGAAAAAGAAAATATTACTGAAAAAATCCTTCATTGGGATTGGGCATTGTTCAAAAATTTAGGTGGCCAGGCAGCCAAAATGCCTAGGTGGGGCCTAGGCAGGGCCCTGGGCATCATTACTCCTAGGCGCTCGCTTAGGAAGCCAAGGCGCCGCCTAGGCGGTCGCCTCAAGGCAGGTGCCTTGGAACAACTGGGCCGAGGACGGTAAATGTCCTCGGACATGGGCATAAAAATATTGCCCCCCTCGCCCCCCCCCAAAAAGGGGGGAAAAGGGTTCTGGGGGGACAATTTAGCCCCCCAAAATGCGTAAGCCCCTATAATAAATTTATTAAGGGGGCTTATGGGTTTTGGGATTATATCACTTATTTTTGGCTGCTTTAATGGAAACTAATGGTTAATTGGGAGCAATTAATGGTTAATTTGAGGATTGAGTTGTGATTTCTGTTGATTATTTCAGATAGATGGCTTCGGCTTCTTTTATTCTTTTAATGTGATTTTGTAATGATTATGGATGATAAAAAAAGACAATATGTGGTACCAAATGTGCAAGAGACCTCACAAATTAGGGTTGGTTGCATGTTTTGGTTAGATGCGAGATTAATTATAAGAAAATTAAGAAATTTGGCTGAACCCCACAAACAATTATAAGAAATTTGACTACAGATCAGTGCAATATATGGTTTTATATTACGCAACAAAGAATTTGTGTGAGAAAGTAAAAAAAATATTGTGTATAGTTTGTCATGTATGTATTTGAAGTTATTGGGATATTGTTGTTTGAAATAAAGGACTATAGCGTGAAAAAAAAATGTCTGTGTTGCAATAAATAGACTATAGCCAAAGTGTAACAGATGCCTACACTTCCCCCTGGTAAAGGTGTTTCTGGGCGCCTGCCTAGGCGACCAGGACTCCAAACTGCTTAGGCAAGCACCTCCACCTTTTTGAAAATTGGGATTGGGTGCTGTATAAGTTCCATGATAAAAAGGCTAGAATTCCCTTGTTGGTTGATCTCTAGATGATAATTATCATCCATTACCTTGTCTGATTTCCTTCTTGTTGATTAAATTTTATAAAGTTGGCAAGTTTTGGTTGGTGCATTGATTGTTCATGTGGCAATTGATAATAGAAATGTTTTTTCTGTTGGTTGGTGCATTGATTGTCCATGTGGCAATTGACAATCAAAATGTTTTTTCTGTTTTTCCTTTCTCTGCTTTTTTGTATGATATAGACAGGTATTGAGTTCTTTAGGTGGCACATAAGTAGATATAGGTCAAGAATATAACTGTTGGTGGATGGTTAATCCATTGAGGTACTTTATAAGAGGAGTGAAACTTGTTTATGTACAATTAAATCCATGTTATGTGTGATTAGACCCATCTTAGTGTTGGATAAGGGTTCTCTGTAAGGCTTCTGCTTGAGTTTTTGGCTTGTGGGATTTGTGTTGAAGGGGCCCTGAGACCCTCATTCTACTTCATTGATTATGGCCTAGTGGCTTTAATTGTTTCATGCTCATGAAGTTAGCAAAAGTGGGGTTTGTTTCAAACAGGGCCTTAGTCTCCTTCGTTGAACAACTCAACCTATCACCAATAACCCTGCCAACCCCCAAAGCTTTTCGAGGTTTTCCTTATTTCAGCTCGAGGAAACAAATATGGGAGTTTTGTTCCTTATCAGGAAGAAAAATATTGGAGTTTTATATCCGCATATTGTTGTGAGCGCCCTTAGCCAATATTTAGTAGTTTCTAGTCCTTGTCTTCTTTCAATTCTCTGCTGTACAAGTCGCCATTGGTAAACTTTGAATTCAATGGTGATAAAGGAAAAACCTGGCTGGAAACTGAAATTCAGAACAAAGTGGCTTATTTTACTTATAAATGTTGTACTCATCTACCAAGCAAACAAAATAGATTGTGCTCATTTTATATCAGATAGAAAAGGTTCATTGTACCTATCGAATGGTGAAATGCTCATTTTCCTTGGTAGTGGGGTGATATATTGCTGTTCAAGCTTGAAGAGCAAAAGAATGCAGTTTAGCAATGGACTAAATGGCAAAGCATAACAGTGGCTACAGTAGCGGATGGTTTCAGGCAACAAACTACATGGTCTCCTTCTCTTAAGATGAGCCTTAAGAGAGAAAGGGTTCAGAGCCTTCAAAAACCTGCAAATAGAGGTATAGAACTTCTACTCCATGGCGATGGTCTCGTTCCCTGAAAGGCTAGATCGATTTACAGAACTTTAAACCTGGTGCATGGAACAAAACCCAGTAGTTCACAGCATGTGGTCCATTTGGACCCTTCCAAGACACATGTTTGTGCAGATGACAGTGTGAGGGTCTTGACCGTGGACTGTTTGGCAAAAGGAAGTTTGCCCATCGAGAATATATGTTTTAGTTGTATAAGGAGGGCAAATGAACTGTTAGGCACCTGTTTTTGCAATTTTACACATATATGGTCTTTTGTCCTTGACATATTTGGAATAACATGGGTGCTGCCGATCTCTGTGGAAGCCCTACTAAAGTGCTTAGGGAGGATAATAATTGTTTTCATGGGAATAAAGTGAACTGTACGAAGCAGCATATCAGGACCACAATGGTCTCATGGGATAGGATAAGGAGGAGAAAATTCTGGATATAATATCACAGATATTGAAACAGTGGCAGGAAATTGCTAGTTAAAAAAATGTGAAAGAAAGGAGCTTGATAGCACGGTGAAGTTGAACTTTGACGGGAGGAATCCAGGTCTGGCTGGATTGGGGCTGGTAAGGAACAGGAAGATCTGAATGTTAAGGGACTCTTCACTGCTGTTGGCTCAACCAAGGCAAAAGATAGGTCCCTGCATGTGGTTTGCGGCCCATGAATGCAAGACTGGATAAGATGATCATTGAAGAAGATTCCAGCTGTGTTATTACTTGGGTCAGTAGCAAGGAGGAGTGCCCCTGGCGGCTACATAATGTGCTCGAAGAAATTTGGGGTCACCTTGTGAAATTATGGGTGACAAGCAGCCATTCTAGGAGAGTGTATAATGAGAAAGTTGATAGACTAGCTAGAGAAGAGTGCCAATATCTACTTTTTATGTGGCTTTGTTTTGAAGTCTAGTTGTGGAGTTTGCTGTATATAGGCTCAATTTTTTTAATAGAGACACACTTTTTAGAGGTGTGAGAGAGAATACAAACTTGTGCATCAATCTTGATTAAGGAAATTTTGATGAGAAAATAATATGCTTATTAAATTCCTTTGATGTCTGAGAGAGGGATGCTGGTCTGAAATTTAGCAGAAGTTAGCTCATATTTTTTTGCATGGATATGTATGCTAATGACCTAAGCGAATTCCTTTAATTTCACTACTGTTGATAGCTAATAAAAATATTGATGGTTGCTTTGTCTGTAATAGCATATTATAGCTTCTTCATATTACGGGCATTAAAGTGAAAATGGATGTCATATGAAGCATTGTTTTAAGCTTTTCACTCGGGTAGCAATAAACTCTTTCATGTTTTCAGGCGCCAATGGGTCAAAGAAGAAGACTTAGCAAAGGATCTGAAGCTGCACTCAAAACAACTTCGTCGTACTTTACGGTTTTTTGAGGAAGAGAAGTTAGTCATGAGGGATCATCGTAGAGAGGTCATGGCTTTTCTGGGTTAATATTGTATTCGGTAGTCCAAAATATCTGTTTCTAACGATGTTTTGCCATATTATTTAGTTCACTGAAAACTGTTGCCCCCTCCCCCCTCCCCCAACTCCCTCTTCCTTCCCTCTTCTTCCTTCCATTTCTTTTGATGAATAGTTCACAGCACCTGTTGCATACATACTTGATGTTTTCAGTACTATATACCTGCTATTACGATTCTGTTTCAAGTTTGGTTTGTTGGAATTTTTTTCTGCGTGATGTCAAATAAGCCGATCTGAAACTATAAAGCTATCAAGTCTGAAGAAATAATAAAGAAGTGCCACATTTTTTTTAATATCTTTCATCTTGAAAACTCATATTGTATCTGAGTCTCACTGGAGATGTTATGCTTCAGCGATATAAAACCCAAATGAACATTAATGCTAAAGAGAAAGATCTTTGTAAGTGCATAACAGGATCTACCACATCATATCTGTCGTTGGAATCCATTTTTAAGGCTCAAACAAAATTGAAGAGGTTGTTTGCTTCCAGTTAAATGACAAACTGACGTTCTGGGTTTTCCACTGATATCATTTATTAATTTATAAGTACTAATTCATTAATTGCCCTTAGTTTTGATTTAGTTTGAACCATCTTTCCATGTTGATTTAGTTGGGTGGGGGAGAGGGATTCAATTTTCCCAGTTAGATAACAGCTGGGCATGTTTTGCCACGTGTGCTATTCCGTATATTAATGTTAGGTCTAATGAGTCCTACCTTCTATCACATAAAGTATATCAAAATATTATCTCAAGTACAGCTCTTTTGTTCTCTCACTTATTTGTTTACCATTTTTTATTGGAAAAAGTTTATATAAGGTTGCTACCTTGAAATGTGGAATTAAAGATGCACCTCAAAAATCCATCATAAAAGGTTGTTTGGATGTTGGAAAACCCTCTAATTGATCATCTCGACATCGAGATGTATGAAAATGAAAAGAAAAAAAGATTTTGAGTCTGCGTAATAGTGTACCTTGAAACACATTATCTGGACTGTCCATTTTGAAGATTTTCATGTGTTTATAGATATACTTGATTTGAACCATTTTTAGAATTTAAAATTTTATAATTAGATATGAAAATAGATTCTCAAGCTATCCTAAGAAGAATCTTTGATATCAAAATTACATTTATGATAAAATTTAGAGGTGTGCGTTAATTGGATTGTTTAATGTTGCAACCTTATGCAAATTACATCCTTTTTTATTTGATGCGTATTTTCACCGTAAAAATATTGGGCCATGTTACCTTTCATGAATGTAATGGTTAGTAGGAGATTCTAATGTTGATATTGACTCCTTTTTGAAGTATTTACATGGTTCTGTTGATGATTATTTTTCAGACAGCAAAAGGTGCAAAAGTTTACAATGCCGCGCTTGCTGCTACAGGTGATGGCCAGCTAAATGGGAACAGCGAAGAAAAGATGAAGATGCATACCCACTCATACTGCTGTTTAGACTATGCTCAGGTTTGCTGATTGCTTTTTTTTTGTCTTCTGATAGAAGGTTTGCTTCTGATAACATTTTTGAAGTTGTGTTATGGCTTTCCCTTTTTTTTTTCCTTCCCGGTTTTGCTAATTGTGCTATCTTTTGGTTAGTTACAGTGTTATCTTTCTTGCTAATTATGTCATTCCTATGCTAAATATTTCTTTGTAACTAATCAGCGACATGTAAATCAATTCTTCATTCTTCCCAATGAACTATGAAGTTTTGTCTGGGCTATTTCTCTGTTAACCTTTCTGGCTTAGTTGGAAAATTTTCTCATTTTGCTACGAAGGGAGCCATATATCTTAGAGAATCCAATATTGCATACAAAGAGCTTAAAAGCATGATAGGCTTGTGCAATCCATAAGTGTGTATACAAAGTAAGAAACAAGTAACCTATGGGTTAGAAAAAATCTAAATTTTTAATGGGTGTTTAATTCATGTCGTGTGTATCTTGAATGATATTGTGTATGTACATCCCTTGTGAAATGTCATTCATATTATTGTTAGAATACATGGAAGCATTATTATGTGATTATTGTAGAAGAGAATTATTATATTGTTATGAGTATTATGATCTTTCTTTTTGATAAGCAAGTACCAAACGATTTTTATAATTTAAGTTCTAATTATTGTTATCCACGATGCTTGATCTGCACTGTTTGTTCTTATGTATCATAATCTTTGTTTCATCCATTACTTTTTTCCTAATATTGCAGGAGAAAAGCTGTACCCAAAAAAAAATAATAAAAAAATGCAGCAGAGACTGCAGAAAAGCATGTGATAGATCTGGAAAGCAAGCGTTCTGTCATTCTTTTGTTTTCGATCAAAGTAAGGGAACATACATAGTAAGACATACAAGGTAGCACACATGAGGAGACTAGGATGCTCAGGGATCATTTGAAGAAGTTGTAACCAGGGCAAGGTCAAGGACCAAAAAAGATACACCTTTGTCGCCTATGGTGTTAGCTGTAAGTTAACTCTGAAGTATGGAGAAAAGCTAATGGGAATGAACACATATAGCTTAAATACCTTTGCCAAAAAAAGGCAAGGCACCTCAGAGGGGGTATCTCACATTGAGCCCATCTAGTGACGTTACATTAAGATATAGATTGAGGACAAGAGTGGCCTTACTTAAACTTGGGTAAGTGTCCTAGTGTCCACCTAGGTGGAATCTGCAAATTTGCTTTTGGCCTGAAACTCTTAATACTTGTTAATTCCTAAGGATTTAGTTTGGGTTGGGAGTTTTTAGGGAGAATGAGAGCCAAAACTAAATATTAAAGGCACACTAGGAAGCACAAGATGGTCTCGCTTTCTTTGAAATGTTAAACGCCCCCGATTCGGTAAGGTTCCAAGATGCAATCGGCATCGGAAGGTATACTTCCAGGATACAGCCAGGTTAGTGTACTTCCAGGATACAACCAGGTCAGTATATTACTTATGAGTTGCACTCTCACTGGCTCATCCAAAACTACATCACGATACTGATATGTCTTCCAATCGGTAATAATATTATTAAACATCGATTAGAAATTAAAACACATATATCTTCTTCTCACACCATATAACTAATAGATGACTATAACATTAGTTGTTACCTGAGAGATTATGAGGCCCTCATATTCACCATGGCTGCATATTATAGAGCTTATATGTAAGCTTGGTCCTTGTAGAATGAGAGATGCTACACAACTTTAGAGAGAGAAAACTCTTTTATAACAATCATACTAATGGTTCTAAAATGATGAGGAACGTTGAGTGTAGAGAGGTGAAGAAAAATAAGATAAATGAGAAATTAAAAGAGCGAAAAAAAAAGTGCCCCATAGCGACTACGGGATCATTTCCTCACAAGGAGGACCACAATATCAAATATATAAAATATTTACCAAAAAATTCCTAAAGTGCCCAATTTATAAACTACAAGGCGGCATCAGCTTCGAATCTCAGTGTTTCATAAAGCATGGTGGTCTCATGAAGTTTCTCCTCCATAGTTGGGTTGAAGCCTATGGTAGTCACAAAGCTGTAGGCCTCTTTTGCTATGAGCTGCTCAGCTTCCTTTTTGGTAAATACTTATTTACAATCTTTCATTTGATGGTACAAGCTGAGGTATGGAAATACATCAAATATGATTAGTCATACTCTTCCCCTACTCAATCTCTCTTTCTACACTCCTCTCTCTAACCCTTCAATAGCATAACTGTACCCCCACTCTTGCTCTCTCCACTCCCTTCTCTCTCCACAGTGTCTGTGAGAGGCCAATGCTTTAGTAGGATGTCCTACTTTACCAAAAAGGAAGAAGAGCAGTCCAAGGAAAAATAGGCCTACAACTTTGTGACTACCATAGGCTTCGACTCGACTACAAAGGAGAAGCTTTTGAGAGACCACCATATTGAGATTAGAAAATGATGCCGCCCTGTAGTTTATGAATTAGGCGCTTTATGAATTTTTTATTAAATATGTTATATATTTGATATTGTTGTCCTCCTTTTGAAGAAATGGCCCCGTGGTCGCTATGGGGCACCTTTTTTTTTTCTCTTTTAATTTCTCATTATCTTATTTTCCTTTACCTCTTTAACCTCAAAGTTCCTCATCATTTTAGAGGCAAGTAGTATCTTGGGAGATTATCCTGGGAGTGTACTCGCCAGTATTGAGGTTATATATAAACTCTATGACATTCAGCCATGGTGAATATGAGGGCCTCATATAATCTCTCAGGTAATAGCTAATGTTTCAGTTATCTGTTTGTTTTATGGTGTGATGTGAGAAGGAGATATCTCAGTTTTAGTTTCTAATCGATGTTTAATATTATTATTATCTATTGGAAAATATATCTGTATATAGTGTTGCGGTTTTGGATGAGTTATTGAGAGGCAACCCAGTAATTGACCTGGTTGTATCCTGGGAGTGTACTCGCCAGTACCGATTGTACCTTAGAGCCATACTAAGTCAGGCGCTTCAAAAAAACGAGACCATCTTGAGCCTCCAAGTGTTCCTTTAATATTTAGTTTTGACTTTCATTCTCCCAAAAAACTCCCAACCCGGACCAAATCCTTTGAGGTTAACGGGTATTAAGAGTTTCATTCAAATCTAATCAAGGGCAGACTTAATTATATATCAAAGGAGTTTAGGAACACACAATAAAACCAACAATTTTGAAGTGTGAATGATTTGTATCACAAGATGGCTGCTGGAAACTTGATATAAGTTATGACCCAAGATTTTGTAAGATTGGAGCGTTTAGATGGTGTAAACTTTAGAAGGTGGCGGTTCAAGGTCTAATTCTTGCTAATGACCCTGAGAGTAGATTATGTTTTAGAGAAAGCATGTCCCTCTGTTCTAGCACCTGCTGAGACTAAGGATGTTCAAAGCCATGAACCACCAATTGGCCAGACATGAAAAATACAATCTTTCTACTTAACTGAAGAAACACAACAATGCGAAGAAATGACTATATATGTAAAGGGCATATCCTGAATGCTTTAAGTGATCCTTTGTCTGATCTCTACTTTGAATGGCAATTGCAAATGACCTATGGGAAGAGCTCTAGAGGCAAAATATAAAGAGTGGTCCGAAAAGACTAGAGTAATATTGTCTGGTCTATCATGAACTATATAATTATACCATGATCCCATGACCACTCAAACACAACACTTCAAAAAATAAGAGTTGTTCTGAAACATTTTTTAATAGCTGACATAAAAGTCCCCTAGTCACTCTACAATTGTGTCCTCATAACATAATATCCATATGTTGGGTATTTAGATTCGATTCTGGTAGAAATTTGTCCTGGCAAGCTAGCTGAGTGCCTGGATCTTGGGCAGAATGAGGGTCTTTTAAACAAATCATGCAGGGGATGGACTATTATGTGCTCTCAATAATGCTCTGTAGCGAGAAAGATCCCAACCTGCCTATTTCCAAAGTCATTGTCTCGATGAGTGGGAATAAATAGCCTATTGCTCATAAGCTATTATTATCATTGGATTTTGATCAGCAAGGTGCTCATACTTTTGTTGATCAGCTAAATTAGTTGATCTTTCATATGACTGGGTAATCGAGGATCACAAACAAAACAACACAAGAATGTCCCTAAGCAGTCTATTACTGGGCTAAAGAGATGGGAAGTGAGACAGAACCATGCCATCATGTTGGAAAATACTGCTTAAGACTTTGCTCATGTCCCTGCAAACCCCTGACAACCCTCTGCTAAAGGAAGCGATGAATGTCGTAGCAGACCCACTCCAGAATCCAACTCCAGCTCCACAAATCTCTACTGTACACTTACTCACTAAAGCGAAGCTATATTTCCTCACCCACCTGATGCCCAATAGCTTGAGTTTCTTGGGCCTACAATCTGTAGAACCATATGAGTTTCACAACCTTACCATATCTCATGCACAGGGTGTATTGGATTTGCTATAACTTCTCATAGTTGCCTTTCGGTTTAAGCCGACCACCAACAATTTTATCTCCATTTCTATGCACCAAAGCTTAGGAATTTCATATGCTTTACCTGCCTTGGGAAATTCTGTGGAGCACAAGAAGGAACATTTTTCATGATAGGATAATTTTTTTTTGATATTTCTTAATATTTATTGCATTTAAGTATAATTTATTACTTGGAGAGAACTTAAGGGAAACATAGAAGGAAGAAAATCTTGCAATATTGATGAAATTATATGTTATATTAGGTAGAGCGATATGTTCTGAAGTGCATTAAAAGAGGACTGTGATATTTATTACTGTTTCCTGACAGATGTGAGCTGTATACGTACTTCCATGAAAAGCATTAATTAAAGAAATGTGTTGCAGATATATGACATTGTGAGGTACAGAATTCATCGCATGAAAAAAAAGCTTAAAGATGATATGGAGGACAAGAATACCATCCAGAAATATGAATGTCCTAATTGTAAGCGAAAGTAAGTGGTCACCTGTATTGGTGCTTTTGTACTTACTGTCCCAAGTATTTCTTTTGGTAATTGTGGCTTTTCTAATTACTAATGGATAGAATTTTTATCTTTTTAACAAAAGATCTGTTGATTATAAAATTGGGCTTTTGTTTTAGAGGTGACAACAAATTATTTGTTCATATGTTCAGGTATTCAGCTTTGGATGCACTGCAGTTGATAAGCATGCACGACGAAAGTTTCCATTGTGAAAATTGCAATGCTGAACTTGTCGCTGAGAGCGACAAGAAAGCTGCTGAGGAAATGGGTGATGGAGATGACAATGCAAGGCGGAGGATGCGGGAAAAATTGAGGGATCAACTTCAAAGAATTGAGGTTTCCATGTGAACCATTACTGCCTTTCTTATTGCACACTCATGCATGTATATTAAATGTGTTCTAATTATTAAATCAAATGTTTTGTCAAATATTAAGTTAAATATTTAAGGAATATGTAAATAGTAAAAAAATAAAATCATCATCATCATCCAAGCCTTACCCCAATGATTTGGGGTCGGCTGTCATGACAAGATTTGGAATGTTTTATGCTGGCTGCCTACCTGACGCAAACCTCCTTCTTTACACGAGCCTGAGACAGTTAAAGGGAAAGTTTAAGGTCCTCGCCCCCATTAGACCAATGGCCAATTTTGTCTATGATTTTCAAAATGTTAGCTGGAGGGTGAGAAAGAGAGCTAGGAGTAACGTCACCTAGAATGAGAATGCTCTAACAGTATCATAGAACACTAAAAATAAAAAATGCCAAGCAGCCCCAGGAAGTTTATGATTCATAAGTGTAGCTATCAAGCAGGCATTTATTTGCAAGCACCAAGTGATTTACGAAAGCTTTAAATACTTAAGATTGATAACAATTAAAAACTAGTGGAAATATGAAACACAATAATTTTGGTTATTTTTTGATGGTTAATATTTTATAACTGTATTACCACTATAAAGGGCATGATTCATTTGAAATTGTTTACTGTCATTTTTGTATTTCATTATTAGTAAGATGATTATCAAGTTTCTAATTATGCAGAAAGAAACTTAAGAAAATAATGTTCAAATCTCATGAGCTAGAAGTAAAATATATTTGCAACAATGTTGGCAACACCCAAATCATATGCAAATGCAAGGTCTGATATATAGGATGAGAAAGTAAACAATAATTTGTAATAAAAGACTAACAAGCTAACAATGTCTAGCTCACAAAAAATAGAGAACCAACAATGTCCAACAACAAATGACAAGACCACAAGTACAACAAATTTCTTTTTATGGCTAGACCAAAACTACAATATTGATCATTTGTTTTTTAATATGTTAAAGACTGTATTAAGTAAAAAGGATGTACACATTACAGAGAATTGGCTACCCACAGGTTGGGAGCTCTATGCAAAAACCACCTAGATAGTGGTAATCGACAAAAAAATGCTATGCAAGCATAGTAGACAAAAAAACCAGGGGACTTGCGAAACAACGAGTGAACTATTCTTTGGCCTGGGCAGTGCCTTGTTGGCTAGATCGTTGGCTGCTTGGTTGGCCTTGTGCCAAATATGCACCCATGGGATTTTTATATGCCTGCAAATGTCGAAAATCTCGTCAAAAACCGAAATGAGTCGCTATGGGGGTGGGGCCTCTCCTGAGGCCTACTAAGAGATGATGTTGTTGGAGTCTCCTTCCACGATGAGGGAGGAACTCCAGGAAGAGTTGGAAGTGTTTGAGACCTTCCAATAGGGCGAGAGCTTTCACAGTGGTGGAGTCAACCCGACCAATGGGAGTGGTGAAGGAGAAGAGGGTGACATCTTTGTGGTTCTTGAAAATTCCTCTGATGCCTGCTGTGCCTGGGTTGTTGAGGGAAGAACTGTCAAAATTGAGTTTTGTCAGGGGGACGCCAGAGGGAGGCACATGGAATGCAATGAGGCCTGAAGAGAAGGATGGTCTGCCAGTTAAGGAGGAAGTCTGAGGCTGTTAGAAGCTTGAATCAGCTGTGGTTGGTAGCCCATAATATCACTGTGGACCTGATGGAATCCCACAAGGCTCGGGTTGTGTGGATTGACCCTGGAAGATCCTTTGGTTGTGTTCCTTCCTAAAGGTCCAAAGCGTCGCAACAATGGAGACTTTCCACAGCGTGGTGCCTGATTTGGGCCACGGGAGGAACTGCATCTGTTGAAAAAGGTGGGGTACAGACATAGGGGTTACCCAGGTCCAATTGAACAGGTGGAAGAGGTTTCCCTACAATTGTCGAGTGAAGCTGTAGTGGATGAAAAGGTGCGAGTTGGTTTCCTCATCATTCCTGCACTTGACGCAGCTATTGCGGATGATCATACCTCTTCGTTGGAGTTGGTTGACAGTTAGGGCTCCTTTCGACAAGGCTATCCATGCGAAGACTTGGATTTTGCAAGAAATAAAAGTTAACCAGGCCTTAGCAACAATGGGCTGAGGCAGAGGAGGGGATGACCTACGAGAGTCTAGCTTTTGGTGGAAAGAGGCCATCGCGAAAACTCTAGTACGGGACGGTGTCAACAGATGACCCTCCTGGGTAGCAAGGCTCCACCACGACTTTCGAAGCAGAGCTAGGTTGTTCGTTCGGATATAACGAATCCCCAAACCGCCGAGGGCCTTGGGTTTGCAAACTGTGTGCCAAGAAATGAGGTGGTATTTGCGGGATTCCCTGGAGCCTGACCTGAGGAAGATGCACATCAGTTGTTCAAGGCGATTTGCAACGGAGGCATAAAATATCCATCCTCCTTATCCTTATGATCTCCCCCATAAGTATTGTCCATCCCGCCTCACCTTAGAAACAAATTTGTTTTTTGGACTATTAGAAACAAAAATTAGTCAAACTGGTCTAACCAGCCAGTCACACCAGTTGAATGTATATCTCTAATTTTGCCCTATTTTTCATTATTTTACCTCATTCTTTAAACCTATCCAATTGGCTGGACCACAGGTTGAGCAGTTCAAACCATACTAGACCCCTTATCAATTTGGCCTCTGCTTCATTCCAGAAACACCGGTTGAAGACTAACCGAGGGAAAATTAAACTGTCCCGGAGCTTTGGCCTCTGTTTGGATAGAGACACCAATAGGATCCGATAAAGCTACACAAGCCATCATAATCTAATGGATGGTGTGGAGGATTCCTCCAACCCCTGTGGGTCATGGATGTCTAAACGAGTTCCATCCCAACTGAATTTTGAAGTGATTACATGAGGGAGGATCCCCAATAGGACACCAGGATAGAAACACAACTGTTAGGGGCTCTAACTGTGCAATTGTGAACCAAACCAATCCTAAAAAGGCATCGAACTCTGATACCTTTGAACTCCAAATAGTTGAGAACTCAACATATCAGTACATTTTGGATTATCCAATTCTTGGTCAAATGGAAAAAACGAGGGCCTTTTTTTCGTGATGGTGATTATTTAGTTAATTACTGATGGAGAGCAAATGAAATATAAACAACAAAAAGCAACGGTTGATGAGAAATCAGCTCAACATAAAAGAGAGAGCTCAACTGCCTTTGAAGATTGTGTTGTTCCTCTCTCTATATTCCATAGGAGGCTAGAAGAGGGAATATCTCTAATACTATAAGCAAACAATGAGAAAGGGAAGTACCTATATACATAGTTATATTTGCATTAGGAAATCAGGGCACTGGTACATTAAAGAGCTCTCCTGGAACTACAAACAAAGGCTACATTGTGATCAAGATTGGATGCAGAAATAACTGTTGCAAATTCTTTTATTTCGAGGTTGGCTTTACAAAGTGAATTTCTTTTAAAAAGATGGCTTTACACAATGAATATATATGATTGGGGCTTAAACTGAATTATACAACATTAAGATATGACAAATGTCAAAAGAACAAAACATAATAGGAAAACTGTGCGTAGCCTGCCTTGGTATGGTATTTATGGTACACAACCTGACATCCACTGCCCATTCTTTACAATAGATGCTGGAGAGCTGTACCTCTTTCAATCTTTGCCATCTGCTTTTGAGTACGGATGGAGAATAGCCTTGGCCATGTACCATATACCATGCTCAGTCTTTGTATGGCATTTCTTCTGCAACATAATAAGTGAATGTGGATATTATGAATATTTTAGTATCCTCAGAATTAGAATGCTGAAAGAACCTTGCTCTATTGAATGTCAGCTTTTTGATAGCTACATTCTTTATATGATTTTGAATACAGGTTGAGCTGAAGCCATTGATGGATCAGTTGGCAAGAGTGAAAGACCTGCCTGCTCCTGAATTTGGAACTCTTCAAGCTTGGGAAGCAAGGGCTATTGCAGCAGGTCGTGCGGCTAATGGTGATTCGGCTCTTAATGACTCATCAAGAGCTGCTCAAGGGCAGGGATATGGTGGAACTCCAATGCCGTTTCTTGGGGAAACCAGGGTAAATGCCATTCTTTGTTGTAGTGTGAGAAACATATTGTCGTGGCATTGCTTTTGTCAATTCTTCTTTGAGGCCTCTCTCTGTCTCTCTCTCCCAGTGATTAAGTGCGGGAAAATTTTGCAGGTTGAGGTTGCTTTATCTGGTGTAGAAGAAAAGGAAGAGGATTTAAAGCCTGATTATGCGGCCACTGTGCGCAAGGTTCTTCCTCCTTGGATGATAAAGCAAGGAATGAACCTCACAAATGAGCAGCGGGGGGAAGTCAAGCAAGAAATAAAAACAGAGAACGCTTCAATTGCTCATCCATTGGAAGAGAAAAAGCCAAAAGAGGGGGAGAAACAAAACGCTCAGACAAATATACAGGTCAGAGAGAAATTTCAATTTTACATAATTTATGAGATTGAAGTTTTGGGTCTATGGTGTGTGTGAGTGTGAGTGTGTGTGTGTGAGAGAGAGAGAGAGAGATTTTATTGGTAGTGTATGGAATATCGAAAAAGTAGCAAGCAGGTCTGAAGAGGAGTAAATGGTGATTATGCTAGATTGAATTGCAGGAAGAGTATCTTAAGGCATATTATGCCGCGATCTTAAAAAGGCAGCAAGAGGAGCAAGCTGCTGCTGCTTACAGTGTGGCCTCCACTTCCAATGTCATGAATGGTGTTTCTGAAACACAGACTGAGCGCCGGGTTGGCATGAAGGTGAAACGGGAGTACAATGAAGATGAAGATGATGTAGAATGGGAAGATGCTACACCTTCAGGTACAAAACTCAGCACAACCCTACCTTCAATCTATTTTTTTCATTCTCAGGAAGTTTGGTGCTGTAAATGTGTGTATGCATGTTCATCACGCATTTGAAAGAGAGAGAGAGAGAGAGAGAGATCTGATGGGGACAATACCCTTTAACCTTACAAATTTATCCCATTCCCTCCGCTCCATCTCGTGATGGAAATAATGGAATTCACTTACACTTGCAGCCCCTCAATACTGATTAATTACTGGAATAGTGATAATGCCTAATGAAACCATTTTCCTGAAATGTGTTACAGGGGTTTCCTCTGTAGCTCCCAAAATAAATGATCTAAATGAGGAAGCCGATGCACCCAAGGAGGAGGATGATGAAGATGAGATAGACTGGGAGGAGGGCTAATAGACACACACACATACCCTTTTGGTTTGTGTGCTTGCTGAGATGAGTTTTTAAGTTTGTGTTTAAGAGGAATTATAACGGAAAAGAGCTCTCTTTTCCCTGTTGTCAATATAAAGGCACACACACATACCCATTTGGTTTGTGTACTTGCTGAGATGAGTTTTTAAGTTTGTGTTTTAGAGGAATTATAACGGAAAAGAGCTCTTTTTTCCCTGTTGTCAATGTAATTTGCCTAGTCATTAAATATATAGTGTCCTATTTATGACATCGAGGCCGTGTTGAAGTTCCTAAGAGTACTGTGTGTGTGTGCACGTGTGGAAGTTTCTATGAGTACTCTCTCTCCCATCTTTTCTTGTCCAGGAGCCTTTTTTATTGCAAAACCATGGTTCGAAAGGGCTAATTTGTATTATGTGTTTTTTGTCTTTCCAGATCTCTCCTATCCTTATTGGTTCCATTGTACAATAGATAATGAGAACCATGGAATTGACAACATAAATATGAAACCATGTAGGAATTGGCATGATCTATGCCATTAACATAAGGCGTGTATTATGGATAGTTGCATGTCAAATTATCAACTCCAAAGAATGATTCATTCTCCAAATTGTAAAGTTTTCACATCTTACAGTCCAATATTTTCTGTTCACTGTGGTGTGTTTGTACAGTGTTCATTGCTACTTCGATCCAAATCCTATAGATGCCATGATGACATCTTTCCCTCTCTTTCTCTAGAGCTAGATATGCATTACAAATGTGCTTAGCACTCGTGCAATGCGCCGTGCGTGTCTGATAGAGACAGACCATTTTGGTAATGTGTTCAAACTACTTAGTTAGAAGGGTGAAATCTCTATAATGCCTCGGCTTTATGAAAACAAAATAAATCCTCATCTTAAATCCTTGTCCGGGAAGCACTTTTAGCATCATAAATCTCCATGACGGTTCTAAAATTAATTTCCAACACTGACAATAAAATTTGAAACTAAAACAATGTTCAGATCTTATTCATCTATGAACACTTATTTTTAGGGCGAAATGAACGGTCTAGATAATTTGTTACAATATACGTTACTTTTAGAGCTTGCAATCCTAATTTTTCTTCACAACTATAATGTCCAAGCCAAGATGATTGATGTAAAGACTTTCCAACACTTGAATTGCAATTTACGATGAATTATGAGGTGAGACTTTCTTAATTTGATAGGGTTACAACCCTATCAAACATTTTCCTTTTTGAAAATATGAAAATACTAGGACAAAAAGTTAAAATAAGGCTTACGCCTTACAAAAATAAAAAAGAAGTAAGGGAAGGTATAGAATGAGACCATTTACCTTTAGTACAATGTGAGATATTAATCTTAACTATTGGATGTGAAATTGGGTGGCTACAATTATTCCATTGGCCAAGCTCAAACTTCAAAAGAAATTTTTTTGAACTTTGTGACACATCCAAGCTATCAAACTTCACATTCGATAATTGTAAGTAATTGGAACTACTTGTATCAAAGGTAAATGGCCTTTTTGTGTACAATCCCAAAAAGTAAAGCCTAAACTAAAAACTTACCAAAAATTATAATTTTGGAGTCAGAAGACCTTTAAATCGATCATCTCGACCTTGACCGCTATGATTGTTAAAAAAAAAAAAAGAATTTCATGCCCTGGAAATAGAGTATATTTTAACATATTATCTAGATCACCCATTTTCAAGTGTTCATAGATATATAAGATTTGTTTCATTTTTTGAGATACAAATTTCATAATCAATAGTAGAAATCGATTTTAGAGCTATCGTAGAGATTTCTGCATGCCCAAAGTGGTTTTTGAACGAGATTTTGAGGTAAGACTTTAATTTTTTAATGAAACCTATGCCCTAGAGAAAATGCATCCTTTGATAGATTCACCGTACTTCTATAGTATAGTATAAGGTGAGTGCCTAAATCAAACCCAACTCTTTAATGGGAAAAGTTCTTATAAGGTGTCAACCTTATACTATACAAGTAAGGTGCACCTAAAAGACTCACTAGAGAAGGTCGCTTTTATGTTGGAAAACCTTCAAATTGGTCATCTCGACTTTGAGATTCATAGATATGACAAAGAGGGTTTTTTAATCCTAAAAATGGTTCGTCTTCCAAAAAATTATCTAGACGGCCTATTTTTAAGATTTTCAAGAGCTTTTATTTTTATAATTGGGAGGCAACAATAGATTTTTCATATTGCAAAGCCCTACGGCACCAAAATTGCATTTTCAGCATAGTTTTGAGATGCACTTTACTTCAAGAAAAAAGTTTATATAAGGATGCAACCTTATAATGTAGAACTACGGATCCATCTCAAAAATCCATTAGAAAAGTTATTTTTAACGTTGAAAAACCCTTTGACCATGAAAAATAAAAAGATTTTAAGTCTCAGAAATAGTGCATTTATTATCTACACCGTCCATTTTCAAGATTTTCATGTTTATATATCTACTTGATGTTAACCATTTTTAAAATTTAAAATTTTATAATTAGATATAAAAATAGATTTTGAGATAACCCTAAGAACATTTTATATGAAAATTATATACCATGATAAAATTTGAAGGTGCACCTTACTTCTACTGCTACGGATGCATCCGTATGCCAACTGCACCATTTCTTCAATAGTGTAACGTTGAGACCTGATATAAACCTCATCTCTCTTTTATTTTATTTTATTTATTAAAAAATTATTTCATACGGGCTGAAAATCATTTCTACAATATGTGGTCCAGAGGGGTAAAGCATCCATCTTAAAGATGAATGCAAATAGGTGGCCATCTAAAAACAAGTGTAACTAAGGCCCAAATTTTTTGTTAATATAATTATTATTTCTAGTTCTCATTTTTTTTTTTTTGGAAAAATTGTAAAAATCTCCCTAAATGGACTTTTTATCTCACTTTACCTACTCAATTTTTCCTAGCAAATGCCCTCATAGAAAAGTTTATTTTTTTGGATGAAAATACCATTTCTTCATCTAACAAATTATTTTAGTGGGAGAGGGCAGTCGGGCATTTATTATTTTTATTAGAATGGCCGGTCTAGCGTTTATTATTTTTATTAGAATGGCCGGTCCGGAGTTTCATGGTGGCAGTCCGTCGTTTCATAGTGGCAGTCTAGCGTTTCATGGTAGCGGTCTGGGCTATTATTTTTTGCTAAAATGGGCGGTCTTGCATCTTGGAGGGACAATCCAGCTTTTTGATATGGCGGTGTGACATTTTGAAGGGGCAGTTCGACGTTTTGAAGTAGCGGTTCGGCGTTTTGACGTAGCATTCCCACGTTTTGAAGTACGTTTTGAAGTGAACAGTCCGGTATTGTACAAGTGCAGTTCGGTGTTTCCTTTCATTAGGATCCAAAAATGATTTGTTAAAGTGAGGGAAAGGTATTTTTATAAATAAAAAAAAAATTAACTTTTTTTTTTTATGGGAAGTTGCTAGTATGGGTAGGGTAAAGTGCGTAAAAAAATCCATTTGGTTTTTTTTGTTGTTGTATTTTCCCTTTTTTTTTCATATTCATGATCAAATTATATTTAAAAAATACCACACCGTCATTTCTGTGTCTCTCTTGATTAATTCTTTTGGTGAGTGGAGTAATGGCGGGAGAGTTGAAGAGGAGCAACAGCACGTTCAACATCTCCGCCTCCCCGAAGCTCTTCACCCTCGCAATTGTCAACACTGGCGGAAGGGTCCTCTTGGGTCTCAAGAAACGAGGGTCTCTCTCTCTTCTCTCTCTCTCACACCTGGCTCTTTGTAATGTACAAATTTCACCCTGATTTCCCCCCTTGGTGGCAGTTTTGGAGAGGGCTATTTCAATGGATTTGGTGGGAAACTTGAGGAAGGGGAATCCATCGATGAAGCGGCTGCTAGAGAGGTGATACCCCCCTTCTTCTAATTAAAATTCAAAGTGCACTGCTTAACTATATCTGATCTTCTTGGGCTTCTTTTTTTCGTTTCTCGAATTTGTTGGGCTTCTTCTTAATCGATCTAGAGCTAGTTTAAGTAAACACCACTATAGATCACGCTAATGTTTCCATTTTCCAATTAATTACTTCATCCAGTCTCTCTGGGATTTATCTTCTTGTGGGTGTCTAATTCATTAGAAAATAAACAGAGGATCAAAAAATAGCATGAATTCCAGTATCTGTCCTCATTAATAGCTACTATTACTAGCTCTCCATCGTGATGTACAATGACAAGAAACCTGTAAGTTGGATTTTAGCATATTGACAACTTGCCCACCAATGTTTTTTCTCAGCATTAGTCTTCAAAATTAGTGGCCGAATTGGTTAAGAAATGATTTTTTTGTACTATCTGTCCCTTAACTGCTGCTTGGTAATTTGAAAGCAGTCTTTTTTTTAGAGAAAGTGTTTGCTCAGTTATTCGTAGCAGAGTCATTTAACATTGGTTCTTGCAGCTTGAAGAAGAGGCTTGTATCTCTCCAGTGGGTATGAAGAAGCATGGAGTCCTGATGTTTTTTTTTGATGACAGGCCTTGCCCTTGGGAGGTTTGTAGTTATTTTAGTATATGGTTGGTAGAAATACCAATCTATCTCTCGTTGTTTTCTGATGCTTGTGGATAATAGAAATTCTCTAGTGAACCATTGGGATTTGGTGTAGATTGATATGGTTTATGCATCTGATTACTTAAACGATGATGGTTTTGCTATCCGTGCTGTTTTGAGCTATAGAGTTGGTAACTGATTAATATTTGGAACATGTTAGTATGCCGTTTTCTAGAATTTCTAGATGTTTTGTTATGAATAACAGGCCAAAATAAGTATCCCGTTGTGTCGCAATTAGCATGGCGCGTATTCTGGATGTTCTTGGCAAGATAAAGATCATTAACTTGTAATTCAATGATAAGGATAGAAGTGATCCAACTAGAAAGGAACTCATTTTAAGGAATTCATAGGAGTTATTCAGGGTTAGGTTAGATAGAGATTAGAAGTTAACTTTCAAGATTGGTGGAATATAAAAATGGATGAGTGAGAAATCCAGTTTGAAAGCCCACTTAGATTTTAATATGTCATAGGTGGCTTAGTCATTTATTTTCTTCTGATGAAAGGGATCTGCAAGGGAGACATAAAATGAAAGGGAAGAGATTGGAGATCGAGAAGAAAGACCTGCATTTCCCACAAGATCCAAGAACCATGTCCTCTTAAGTGTTGATCTTCAACCATATTGCCATCTGAATTTTAACTTGCTTCTAAATAACATATCAGACCCTTGCAATGTTCAACAAGGCGGAGGTGGCCGCCTAGGCGGCGAGGGGACTGGGCTGCCTAGGTGGGTGTCCAGACCCAAAAAAACCAGTGATTTTTTTTTAAAAAATTTGGATCCCCCACACCTCCCCCTAGTTTATGATATATAAAATTTTCTGTTTTATTATTTAATAAGTAAGTTTTGTATGTAATATATTGTTAAATTGCCGGAAGCACAGATCAAAACCTTCTTGAAGTGGACTCAATTTCGGGCCAAACCAAAATGTTTGGGATCCCAAATCTCCTCTTTTACAATCCCTATAAGCCAAACTAAGATTAGGGTTGAATATCCTTTAATATCGTGACCATTAGAGGATTTCGATAAAAATTTCGATCTCTCGAAAAATATTCAAATCTAGTTTTTTTTAAGTTATTTCTCTCTCTAAAGTTCACTAAATTTGTTTAAATTTGTTTTGGGGGGCAGGAATGACCCCCCTTTTAAGGAGGTAAAATGTCTTTTTTTGCCCCACCTGAAAAAACATTTCTGCCAAAGCCCTGCGTGCTGCCTAGGCGGGCACCTAGTTTCGCCTTATTGACCGCCTAATCGGCTGCCCGACCGCCTCGGCGATCGCCTAGTTCTGGCGCCTAGTTAGTCCCGCCTTAAGAACGCGTAGGCTCTTTTTAAAATAGCCGCCTAGGGGGTCGGGCAGGCAACTTTTTGAACACTGGAACCCTTGTAATAAGGGTGCCAGATTCCCCTATTTATTAGATTCTCCTTATTGATGTAATTTCCTCAACAAAGTTTCCACCATAACTCCAGTGTGGGATTACCACTTCTAAAACTTGTCTTCCTTTGGTGACTACAATTACCAATAAGCTCTTAGGAATCCTAATTTTGGAAGCGGGAACATCATTCCAAAGAAACACCCAGATTCTAGGGTGCATTGTCTTTTTGTGAAAGATCCATATCCACTTACCTACAGAGAACTTGTTAGAGCCCTGAACTTTACCCAAGGCCTATATTCCAGGCTTACTCACATCCTATTCCATGACGTGACTCTTGCAGTTATCCTCACCCGCATTACCTATTCTAACTATGATCTCATACAATGCACGGGCCCAAAAACATGATGATGAGTAAACTATTGTGAGAAAATAGTGATATTTTCCCTCCACTGCAACTTAGGCAAAGACCTCTGTCCTGGAAATATATACTTGGACAATGGTAATCCCTGCATGTAGATAAAATACCCCAACTTTACAACAGATTGCATTAGAAAATTCCAGTTCATGGTCATGAGGAACCCTTATCGCAAAGACAAGTCCCTAACACTGACTTTGCAAGTTTCTTTCATAACATACATTTTATATCTCAAGGGACATGAAACTGATTTATGGGATAGCCTCATGGGAAATCCGAAATCAATAGAATTTGCTGGTGCCTTTAAGGATGAGATGGGGGTACTTGGGATGCTACACAAGGATATAGATGATTGTTTGGAGGTTTGAGGATTTTATGCCAAAGGGCCACGTTTAGACTCCAGATGATTGAGGAGGATGCTCTTCATGTTATCTGGTGGCCCATGATGACAAGTTTTTTCTGTGAAACTTGCCCAAAATTCTTGGGGGATATCAAAAACCTAGCAAGGTGTTATTTTCAAATTTCTATGTTCAGAGTAGCGATGTGGTTGTGGATGCTTTGGTTGGTTGTCAAGGTCATTGTTGGACTTATCATTTTGAACTTGGGCTTGAAGTGTTAAATGATACTCTCAGTTTCTACTGCCTTTGATGGAGGCTTCCCTGGATATAAATAATGATCCTCTTTGGCAGCCTAGAATATAGAAAATGCTCTAAATTAATGTAAGATAAATTTCTTAACTGCCCGAGCATAACTTAGTTATAACCATTTGAATGTATATGGTGGTAGACAAACCATTTTGAGTACTTATGAATTTTTGTCTTTGCATGTTGGAAGTATATTCTACATTTTCAACACTATTGGTCAAGATTAGTGATGAACTCTTTATTTTAATGCAGGTACATGTTTTCAATGTTCCTGACTACATGGGGAAGCCCTGCGAAACAGAAGAAATGCTACCAACTTGGTTTGCCCATGAGGATATTCCATATGGTAGTCTTATTCTGAAATCCACGAAATCTATGTTGAATTACTTCAGAGTGTCAATGTCTGTCAGATATTCTTCCAATGACATTTTAAAGTAGTTACATTCAAAGAATAAATTGAATGCCTTATAAAACCCATATAAGTAGCCCCAGAGGTGTTCATGCATAGCATCTGGCATCCCCTCTTCATAACAGTATTTTTTAAAATCTTTAGGATGAATCTACTTGGGAATTCATGTATTTTTGCAAGCAGCTATATCAGGTCTACCAAAACTCTTTGTAAGTAGCGCATAACCAATTGTTAGATTCTTGTAGATCTCCTCCTTGACTGGTCTGTCGAGAACACCATACTAACGCTCGTCTTTCAACTCGTGTTTATCATGTATGACTGTATTGATGGGTATGACACTATGCCATGGATATCTTCAAAGACCTAAATGACATGCTGAGTGCTGTGTCATTGAGACCTGTTTGAATCCTTATCATTCTAATCTGTTGCTTTTAGAACATCCATGTTTTAATAAGACTGTATGAATTGTGAATTGACATCCATGAAGAATAAAAATGGAAAAGTTTGAAGTCATGGAAATAATGGAAATGTGCTCACATTTACATTCCTTTTGTTAATTTTGTATGGTAATACGTAAAATTTATTATTTTCCAAAGTCAATTGTTAAATGTAGATGATTGTAGTCTGAAGTCATGGAACCTCGTGCTATTAATTGGACATATACTCATATTTGCATTCATTTTGTTAAGTTTTGTATGTTAACCTGTGAAGTTTATTATTTTCTGAAGTCAATGCTTGAATGTAGGTAATTGTTCGATCAGAATAATTGATGAATTTTAGAAAAGTTATGGATAACCTAGATGGTTTTATTTGAACTTGGAAGGAAGTTAGAGTAACCTAGGGTTGGCTCAATGGAAATTTTAATTCGGTATTCATTAAAATTTGACTTTCCCAGTCTGGTTTTGGTGTATAAAAGGGAAGAGGAGTCCCAGTTCCATGATCATTTATGCATAGAAGGCCTTTAAGAAGAGAATCCACTGACACCTTTTTGCATTTACTTGTGGGTGCTTGTTTCCGGTGCAACTATACACAGGACATTGTTTTTTTGTCTACATTACACAATACATTATTAAAAAGAGTAGAAGACTTATCTCATGTGCAGTAAAAAGGCAGACACACCCCTCAAGCTAAATATGAAGCTCGCCACATATAAGGGTAAACCGGTGAAAGTATTTTGTCTTTTTAAAGGTTGACTATATGTCATTAATAAGTATGATTTATCCAAAATGGTGTATCACAGAACTGTACACTCTTCTACAAACTTGGGAAAGAAAAGGCTTACATTGTCAAGAGTTGTTAACAACCACAAAGGTAGAACATCTGATCCAGCAAAAGACTTAGCACAGCTCATGAATTAGCATTGTCAAAATGATCCTAAGACCAGATATATCAGTAGTTAATTTGATCATTCACTATGCTATGGCTTTGCCAAGGCACAGCATGTTGTTCCCGTCTTCCAGTCTCAAATTCATTGGCTAATGCAAGTGCCGGTTGACTTGGATGCTTGGACTCCAAAAGTTCTCGTACCAGCTGTTACATGTTTATTCCTTTTTATTTCCTAGAGGAGCAAGAAATTGGATACAATAGCCAACTCATAGTTACCAGGATCTGGATTAAATGAGATCTGAGATTGGGACCAGGACCGCGGGATCATGACAAGCAAGAAGCTCCCTATAGTAGAGATTGCGGTCAGTCCACCCTGAAATCTAGGGATCTCAATTATTGTATGTGGGGGAGCTCGATCTAACTTAATCTGGATCTAGTAACAAAACTATAGCACCCGCAATGCTATATTATAAGTTTAGGGAATCTAGATCCTTTGTAAATCAGGACCTCAAATCCTAATAGGAATGGTCAAGATTCCAGGTGCAGAGGAGCGAGATTCCCTTCCTCGGAGCGCAAGATGGGATGCCATAGTGGAATCAAACCCTTAATAGGTTGATCCTAGTATGATCCAACTATTCAAAGAAGCTATGCACAGAGCCTTTTATAGAGCCAGCAGTGAGATCATTTGCCCTATTTTGAGAGAGATTTTTTGTATGACAACTTCTTATTTTCTTGTAGAAGTGTGCCGATATGAAACCTTCGAACCACTATAATAAAGACAACATCAGTGTTATATGGTACATGAAATCTAGTATTCCTTGATAAGAGTGTCCAACAAAGTTTATTGCTATGAACCATTCATTCAACATCATTTTAACAGCTGGGCTTGTAAGTCTTGCTTTACTTGATTCAATCTCCATTTGGAAATTATCATCACCAAAGGTTAATCATATCAAAATATAAATTTCTAGCTGGAAAGGTTGACCTACAGTTCAGTTTGGTCGTGGTGGTGGTGGTGGTTTGGTAATCCAAGGACATGTTTGTAGCTATGTATGCCATGCAGGTCCTTTATAGTCCTTTGTAGGGTTAAATGGAATGTATATAGAATGAACTAACTCAAGAGATGAAATAATTGTCCTCCAAAAGGGTAATGATGAGAAGCCGGATGTTTTGAAAGTTTATGCAATTAAGAACCAAATGAACTTTTTTTTTTTTTCTGTTTGGTGGGCTGTTTGAATTTGAACCTGGGATCTTGTGCTACAGTTGTCAACACTCAAGCGTCAAGCTAGGCACTCGAATCCTAGTGAACTATTTTGACTTCACATTTTTGGCTCAATGATTAGGACTTAGGGCTATAGCTCCAAGATTCAAAACCTAGCTAACCTACCCAAGATGAAAAAAAACAAAAAAAAAATCAAATGAACAGATGTATTGGAAGAGGAACCCAAGGGACAATTAAAGGGGGGGAAATTTTTTTCCCTAAACTGAGGATAAGTGATGGTGTGAAAACTGCTAAGATTAAATTGGTGTCATTGTGTGGAGGAGCCAAAGGAAGACATATCAGAGTCAAACTTTAGATAGAGAAACTATTCCACCTTTGGGCTTCTTCCATTCAAGTACGCATTTACAATGTCCCATAGACCCTGTGCTTTGAAGTCAATAATGCACTTCCTTTAAACAACATGACTAAGAGAAGTAGATGTCTGGATGATTTTGCAAATAACTGTACTTATTTAGGAATCATTCATTGGAAGTTGCATACAAAGAGCCCATAAAAAGTAGAGGATTTCCAATAATTAACCATAATTCAGGAAAGGGAAGTTCACAACAATTAGTAATAAAAATTTTGAATTATCTATATAGATTAGGGAAAAAGCAACTCAAAGGAAGATATCCTGATATGAGATCCACTACACTCACTTGTAACGATCAATAGGTTGGACTAAAAAACATGGGTTCCTGTGGGAGCACAATGTGCACTTGGTCCTTGAGGCGAAACTCCTGCTTAGAGGGATGCGCTTGATTTGAAGTTTTGAGATTCACCTTGAATAAATAAAAATTTAAAAATAATGACAATAAGAAAAGATTTGACACCTTAAACAGGTTGATCTAACCATCCAAAGTGGACAGTGTGTTCATTCTTGGGATTTTAGGGTGAGATTTCAACTCTTTTTTTTTTTTTTCCTTTTTTTAAAAGATTTTTTACATGCAATTTTAAGAAGTGATTTTTTTAAAAAATACTACTAGGCAGGTTTTTGCCTGAGTAAGTGCATGTTTTACTTCCTTGGGAATCTGTGATCTTTACTGAAAAAATAGGTTGAAGTGAAAGAAATATTAGTTCTAGCAAATTGCTACAGATAGTTCCACAACCTATTAGTTCTTTTATCAAGTTTATCTTCCGATATTAATATCGTTCTATTAAACTGATTTGCAGATAAAATGTGGATGGATGATAAGGTTTGGTATCCTCATTTTCTTAAAGGTAAGGCTTGGTTTTCCGACTGCTTGGTTACTCTATTAACCCAGAGATCCATTTTAAATCGTACGATACAAATGAAAAGACCTTATTGGGTATTTTCTTTTGTATTGTAAAGCACAGGGTGGGAGATGTGTTTTCAATACCCACCTGTTTGTAAAAGTCTAACAATGTGCATTGACGACCGACACATTTTCCCAATTGTATCCTAAATCTAGAACCATGTTTTTGGCATATTCTTTCTAGCCAAAAATGGAAGGATGAGTTCATTTCTCTCTTTCGGACCTTTTTGCAGGTGATATGTTCAAGGGAAAGTTTTTCTTTGAGAACACCCATAACTTAGTATCTTATGAGTGCTCAGTAGTTGAGGCTTTGTAAATCATCTTAATCTGTGGTTGGGAAGAATTATGGAACTATCGATAATTCCAATATCCATGAATCCGAGTCTCAGATCCTAATATTATGCTTTAGTATCTTCTCAATATTATATTATGCTTTTGAATAGCTGCTGTGGATCATGATTCTTGTGGTGTAAACACACACAGCTTTATATTTAGCCAATGCAAAATTATTACGTGAGGGATGCGGTTAGCATGCAGGCCAAGCCCGCACATGTAGAAATGCGGTCCCATTAATAAATCTATTTTTGAGATGGATTTTTGGACTTAATTTATAAGGATATGTGTTCTCCAACATAGAGATCATGAATATGAAAAAATAAATAAATATTAAAATAATTCTAAGAAAACATTTGGACAGTTAGTTTCAATTGTTTTTAGATGGACCACATAAGATGGATACTTTATACTTCTGGACTGCATATGTAGAAATGCGGTCCAGCTTGCATGAAACAATTTTCCTTACGTGAGAACGACTTTGGTATAGTTTTCTGACATCATCACATATATTGGATAACTGCGAATTGTTTATGAACCCAAAAGAGATTAAAATATAGATATCAAGAAGGCCATTCCCTTTTTTTCTTCCCTTACAAGGCCATTCAAACATGTCTCTCATATGTAGTCCCTACACATTTCTTATGTTTGACTTGCTATGTGTTCACCCTTGAACAGTGTTTTAAAAGGGCTGGCTCATAACTAGTGGGGGCTGGTCCGAGTTCCCCACAGAATCGTGGCTCAGATTGGTTCACACTAAAAGTCACTTTTTTATGTGTAATGTCATGACAACATTGTTTTTGGGTTGATTTGAGAATCTTAAACCTCCTTTAAAAATTTTTAATGATCAACATTTTAAAATTTTCATTTTCTTTTGAAGTTTTGGCTAGTCAACCTATCTGAATCAGAGCCAGTGGGGTACTCATTTAACCCCACTGTCCAATTTTTAAGACACAGCCCTTGAATTAGCCTTCCCTCAATCTCATCTTTTGTACTTCGTGATGTCTGATGATGTATGGCTCAACAGGAACACGTCTACATTTGTTTTAGAGTGCCAGTGGATTTGATGATAGCTTAGGTGCATCTACTATGGAGGGACCCTGGACCTGGTTTCTCTCACCTTTCTTGGACCCAGCATAAGAATCTTTAGATCTAGTTTACCCTCTAATTGGACTGGGTTCAAACATCTTGAAGTTGGAGTATATCTAGTAGTTCAATCGCTATTTCTATCGTTTGAGGATTCAAAGTAAGAATCTCTAGATCTATTTTGAAAGGGCTCAAACATGTTATATTGATTTGAGAACTTATTGAATGTTTGATTTGAGAACTTATTGAATGTGGTGAGAGAAAGACATTTCATCCAATTACTCTCCTTTCAGCCCTGCCTTCTTGTACATTTCTGTCTAGTGGTTCATCCCACATTTGAGCAGCATATACTTGAGTTGTATGAAAGCCTAACCCTTCAACGATCATTCTGATGTGACAAGTGGTACTAAAGGGAACATGGTTACAAGGATCGTCCAATATGGTGGTCACTTCAGCTCCAAAAGCTCAATCATGAGTTATAGGACAAAGGATATATGTTCCACACTTTTTTGAATTTGGGCATCTTTGGAGATCTGTACTCCTGGTTAATGGGATCTGGTTCCTGTCATGCAAATCATGTCCCCCTGAGTAAATGGAATCATGTCTCCACTAAAGAAGAATTCAGTTTCTTTTACATTGGTACTGAAGATCACTGACGCATTTCGAGTCTTATACTAACCGCTACCCTTTTTCCCCACCCGTCTTCCTTATAACTCCCTAGCGCGCAATCTCTCTCTCTCTCTCTCTCTCTCTCTCTCTGTGTCAGTATGTGCACGTGTGCGCTTGTCCCTTTGTAAGTGCATGTTTCTCTAAAATTTCTGAAATCAAAACTGTCTTTCAGTATAAAGATCTACTACTTGAGAAATAATCCCACAATGGCAAACCAGGGTTTGAAGCTTTACGCTTGAACTTTGGACTTGTAAGTCACAAAACGAATGCAGTAACGTATACATTGCTGCCATATAATGTTATGGAACCTGCAGATGAAGGAGAGAAGCTGCGGAGCTAAAGCTTCGCCTTGTCCTGGTTTAAATCTTTTTTATTTCACTTTTTCGAAGCACTATAAACTCTATACAATTGATCTTTTGTCTTAATGCTATCTTATTGACCAGATCCATTATTATAGAGATTTTTGCAGGCTGACCATTTCTTTGACTCGGGACACTTCAATTTTTTTTAGAATCTAAAGAGCATTTGACCAGTTTCATGCCGAATCACATATAACTGAAAGGACCCAAATGGGGGTAAACAAGGACATTGCATTTTTATCAAATACCATAGCTCCTTTCATGTTGAGGACTAAAATTTGAATCTTTTGGGCCTTCAATATTTCTTTTCACTTATGAAACACACTCCAATGATAGAAAATTTTTAAAATATTATAAAAATGGGATCTTTGTATTTAATGATACTTTGATTTTTTAAATCAGAAAAAAACATTAATTATTTTGTTCGAAGGACTTCGTTATCAAGTTGGAGTTTGAATTCAGAAAGAGCATTAATTGTATTGTTCAACAGACTTCATTTCTGAGCAAGAATACCCTAATTAAGTGCTATATAGGAGCCTCGATTCAAAGCTGGATGGATTTCGTTCCCATATACTTGATCATTCATGCACTCTTAGATCTGACCTTGCTCTTGGTCTTAGTAACTATGGAAGGTCGCTCGCATCATATACACAAGGAGATTTATTAAAATATGCCTATGTTTTGAACTATTAATATTCTACCCTAAGTGTATTTTGATAAATTTCAAAACCCATTTTGGTGTGCTATTTGATGCCCCATTCCTATATACTTCATCATTCCATCCGCGACAAATTTGGATTATGCTCTGTTCATATTGGGATCACGATCCTTTTAACACACAATGTATGGATCTATCTCTTAATCTAGTGTTTTCAATCCCAATCCAGGATTTGACCTCACTACTAATCCCAGTAACTATAGAAGGGAACTCACGTAACATAATGGAACTGATTTTTTAAGAACCATGTTTGTTGCATTTATGTGATCCTAAATTTTGAACTCGTACTTTCTTCGTCCCAACAATCAATGCCATAAAGAAAAAAAATTGAATTTGCGCCATAAATAAGTCAAAATGTATTACTCTTCATTGAGATATAGGTTTTTAAGAACTTAAAATGAATTACGTATTTTTCAGAATTGTTCATCTAATATCTATGAGGCCATACAACACAATTGAGATAAAAAAGGAACTCCTTTAAAGCTTAGATCTAAGCATTCCATCAAATGGATTGCCTGTATTCATTGGGTTTGAAAAAACATTTCTATGGTTCTTTTTCAAATTTTGCTATTTTGATATTGTTCATAATTGTGAATTATGTATTTTCAAAAACTAAAATCTGCATGTTGTGTTGGGTTTGTTGATTCCATGAAAACATTCGCTAACTTTTACCTAAGGGTGCCTCAGACCATGTCCCTTAGTTGTTTGTCCATCCAAGATTCAGTCATCCAGCCCAAGACCTTTTATGTTGGAAAATGTTTAGATACGGTTGCAACCCTATCAAAATAAGTAAAGCCTCACCTCATAACTCACTGAAAATTGTAGTTTTGGGGTTGGACAACCTTCAAATCGACCATCTTAGCTTTGCCTTACCTCATAACTCACTGAAAATTGCGGTTTTGGGGTTGGACAACTTTCAAATCGATCATCTTAGCTTTGACTATTATGGTTGTAGAAAAAATTAGGATTTCAAACCCTAAAAAAAGAGTATATTATGACACATTATTTAGACCACCCCTTTCACCTTAAAAATAAGTAGTCACGGATTCGTAAGATCTAATCTATTTTTTTAACTTCAAATTACAGTTAGTATTAGAAATTGATTTTAGAGCCATCATTACCCAAAGTTCTTCCCGCAAGGATTCGAGCTGAGGCATTACTTTGTATCCATAAAGCCCTGGCCAAGCCCTATAGAAACCGTATACTTCATGTTTTCTGTATTTTTGGAATAAGATTAGTTTTTTTATTAATGTCATTGAAGATTCTTGGAGATAAAAGGGCTTTTAAAGCACCTATATTTACGTTTGTCTCAAAACTTCAGCGATGAACAACGAGATCATCGATAAAGTAATCTTACAATGGCGTAAATATGACACGATGCACTATATCCACGACCAGTTCACTTTTTGTCCAAGAAAAAGTGCTCTAAAAGGATGAAGAAGGGAGGGGTGGGGTGTGTCGGAAATTGATGTTAGGATGAATCTCTCTAATTGTTTTAAATTGCGAAAAGTGAAGTGTCGGCCTAGATCCTTTTGGTCTCCTCCACCACAAGGCTTATAAACTGAATTTTGATGGTTATTCTTTTGGCGATCCAAGCTTGAATGGTGTGCGTTATCTTTGCATATGCAGGTCCATGTGGTGTAGCTTTGGCTAATCATGCTGAGATGGCTTCGCTATTGGAGTTGGTTAGAGATAGATTGAGTGGGCAGTTGTGTATGGTGGAAGAGGATTCTCTAAATACTATTCTTTGGTGCAAGAAAGAGCAGAGGGTTCCACGGCAGCTTCACCATTTTTGGTCGCAAATTATGGATATCGCAGATAGCTTGGGTGTTTCATTTTAACATATCTATAGGGAAGGGAATGATTTCGCAGATGCATTGCACAGAGAGGAGAGTCTGTATATCGTAATCTATTTTTTTTTGAGTAAGTAATAAAATAATTGAATATTGTCAAAAATAAATAAATAAATAAATAAATATATGAAGAAGGGAACTTGAATAATATTGAATAAGGAAAAGTTCTTCATGAGTCAACGGGTGCAAGAGCCTACTGACTCACCAACATCCATTTTTAGGATGGATGTCGTAAAAAACTTGTGATTGGGCAAATTGGGATGTTTTTTTCTGCAAAGAATATCTTCTTTAAGTCACCCGGATGAATTTGTGCATTGGAATTCACTGTCGTATCTCTAGATCAGCTTCTCTATCCTTTATAATGGATCTCCTCATGGTTTTCTCGAGGGACCTATGGGCTTTCGGCAAGGGGACTTTTTATTTCCATACATATACTTATCCCTAGCTGACCCCAATTAATTAGGAAAAGGTTATGACAATGATGATGATGATGATATAT